AACGGGCAGTCGGACATCCCTCTCACAATCCAAGACTGCTGGCTCCCAACCGCTCACCTGCCTGCCAGCCTGATTGCCCCTAACCACTCCCCTGCCAGCCTGATCAGCACCTAACTACTCCCCTGCTGGCCCAATTGCCCCTAACTTCCCTCCCGTGCTGGCCCGGTCACCCCTAACTGCCCTCCCCTGCCGGCCTGGTCCCCTCCAACTACCCTCCCCTGCAGGCCTTGCTCCCCCCAACTGCCCTCCCCTGCAGGGCTGGTCCTCCCTAACTGCCCTCCCCTGCTGGCCTGGTTCCCCCCAACTGCTCTCTCCTGCCGGTCTGGTCCTCCCCAACTGCCCTCCCCTGCAGGCCTTGTTCCCCTAACTGCCCTCCCCTGCTGGCTCGGTCACCTCTAACTGCCCTCCCCTGTAGGCCTGGTCCCCCCTAACTGCCCTCCCCTGCTGGCTCGGTCACCTCTAACTGCCCTCCCCTGTAGGCCTGGTCCCCCCTAACTGCCCTCCCCTGCCAGCCAGCTTGTGTCCACATGGGGGTGGCCATCTTGTGTGTTGGAGTGGTGGTCAATTTGCATATTTCTCTTGTATTAGATAGGATTCCACTCCAAAATAGTAGAATATATATTTTGTTCAAGTGCATGTGTAATATTGACCATGAAAGGCCATAAAACAAACCTTAACAAATTTAAAAGAATTAAAATAATACAAAATATGTTCTTTCACTAAAGTGGAATTGAACTAAAAATCAGTAACAAAAATGTCAGGAAATATCCATAAATATCAAAGTTAATAGACTTAAAAATGAAGATAATTCTGACACATGCTACAACATGGATGAATCCTGAAGACATTTTACTAAGTGAAATAAGCTGCATAAAAGAAGACACATATTGTATGATTCCACTTAAATGAAGTGCCCAGAGCAGTCAAATTCATAGTAGAATGGTGGTTCAGAGATTGGAGTAATGGGGAGTTATTGTTTAATAGGTACAGAACTTCTGTTTGGGATGGAAAAAGTTCTAGAGATGGATAGTGGTGATGGTTGCACAACAATATGAATGTACCAATGCTACTGAACTATATACACTTACAAATGGTTAAAATGGCAAATTTTATGTATATATATATTTTTATGTATATTTTACACAATAAAAATTAATAGATCAGATAATGTTGCTTTACACAGGTCTTGATTTAGAAATACTGGGAAAATGTCTTATGTGTGTCCTATTTAAGTTCACCTTGAGTTCTCTTAAGAACAAAGAGTAAAAAATAGTCATTTATGATTTCTGCATAATATGTTGCCATAGAACTCAATCACAAAATAAATTAAAATAAACTCTAAGTGCAAAAAGCTTGATTTAAATGCTTCTGCCAAGCCCTGGGCAACACAAAAAGCAGTATTTCCTCCCATAATTAATTACAGGAAAATCACAGATAGTTACATAATTACATGATTCTTCTCCTGAAGATACAAAAGCCAAATGTGAAGGAAAGAATGCTCTGGGCTCCATTGCTTTGCAAGGACTTGATCAGGCTGTGTCCTGGGAGGACTACAGTAGAGATTTAGAAGGTGTGGAATTTGTTCCCAGGATAAATGAGCTTCTCAATAATAAAATGTTATGCTTTTTTCCAAGTAAGCCATATCTGAACTGGGAAAGAATAGGCTCTTGTGGTTGTTTCAGAAATATCCCTTGAGCCAGCCCAATTCTAGATAAGAAGGAGAACCTGAAATGTTAGGAGGACAGTTAAAAATCCTCTCTGCACTTGCGAGGTCTTAGAGCTGAGGAGGGAAAAGGGGAGATTGAACTCAGTAAATGGAATTTTTATGGCTGTTTTATATTGTTCTTGATATAGTTTTGTTGTTTATTGTAAAAATTTTAATATAAGAAGAAAACAAATGCTATTGTATGTTTACTTGGTTCTTCAGGTGGCTTATCATCATAAGGTAAATGGTAAGGTGTGGCTATTATGCTCTTAATGGCAATAGAAAAATTCAACAAAAGCTTAATGCTGAGTCACAACTGTACGTGACCATAGTGAAATGAATAATGGCTAAATGACACATTCCATCTTTTTGGTAGGTTGAATTATCATTTAAAATATTTGTTGCCCCTCCTCGAGCTCACCTTCCTACAGGACGATTTCCCTGGTTATTGAACTCATACGCAGCCAAATGATCTGCTTTAGGCAAATTGTGAGCTGAATGACGTGTCACATGTGAGCAGACACATGGAGAACCAGCATTTGTTTCACCATGTCTTTTATTCCTATGTTACAAGACCAACAGCATCCCATAGCTGCTTTATGAGCCTGGGTCTGTGAGTAGACCCAAGTTGGAGCAGACCCATGATAAACATGTAACATGAGCAGGAAATAAACTCCTGTTTACTTGGGGCTGTTTGTTCCTGCAGCATTACTTAGCCTCGTCTTACTGTTGCATGTTTCCATCCACATAACAACATTAACATTCATGTCATCTGTATAACATTTTGCTTAGGCGTTTTAACCTATTTACCCTTCCCCAAAGGCCAGATTTACATAATTTCCTCTGACTTCCTTGATAACAGAATCCCAACTTCATTCTAGCTGTAATGTGCTCAACCCCAACAATGTGCCCAACTAATAGTTTTGTTAGTCTACCCGTGGTTGGCAAACTGCGGCTCGCGAGCCACATGCGGCTTTTTGGCCCCTTGAGTGTGGCTCTTGCGCAAAATACCACGTGCGGGCGCACATACAGTGCGATGGAAACTTTTTGGCCCATGCGCAGAAGTCGGTTTTTGGCCTGGGCAAGTCTATTTTGAAGAAGTACTGTTGATATTTGGCTCTGTTGACTAATGAGTTTGCCAACCACTGGTCTAAGCCAATCATAGCAACTCCATTACTCATCGAGAGGAATTGATCTAAGGATAAATATGTAACTCAGTTTGGAACCAGGAGATTTAAAGGGAATCTGCTGGAGAATTCAGGGGAAATTTTTCCTTTCTGGGAAGAGCAACATGCAAAGAGAAAGTTGTTTTTGTCCACTTTCTTCCACTTTTAGCTTTTGAAAGCTGTAAAGTAACAATGTGATACTTGGAAGTGTGACGGTGAGGATTCACACCAATGTGCTTAGAGCAGTGGAATCCCAGATAAAAAGAGCTGGGGTTCTTGATGACATAATGGAACCACCGAATAAACCTTCAGAGTGCCTACCTGGGCTTCTTAGTGAACTACTAATGTCCTTATAGTTTAAGCCGTAAGTCTGATTTATCTATTGCCCGCTGCTAAAAGCATCCTAACGGATACAACATGTGTGGACAGAGCATTGCTCACTTGGCCTGTTTCACCAGGGGTTCACCTTTATGATTGCCCTGGATAGGCCTTGGGTTTTTTTTTAAGCTACAGTGGAGGTTTTACTTAATTTGGCTCCCAAGTGCAGCTCTAACCTTAATGAAGTTCCTCTTTGGTGTATGCACCGAAAGCAGCTCTCCCTGTGGCCATCTGGTTTAGGGTCCTGTTTCTCTAGGTAGTACCAGAAGCTACCTGGGCCTAGTGTTTCCCCACAATGGGGAAATACTTTTTTTAACCACCAAACCTCATTATGAGATTTTTCCAACAAAAGATAGTCAAGCCAGAAGAGCTACCAATGCCATTGTCTTGAGCACTCACTGTTATATTGTATTCTAACGCTGCAATATTGCTGGAGGCAAAAATGACTAAACTGAAACTGTCCTGCTTCAGGAACATCATGAGAAGCCAGAGTTCTTTGGAGAAGACAACAGTGCTGAGGAAAACAAGGCAGCAGGACAAGAGGAAGACCACACATGACATAAGAAGCCACAGGCACGAGTCTACAGGAGCTGAGACTCATTCACAGGGTCACCAGGAGTCGGAGCTGGTTCAGCAGCACGTAGCACACGGCTGCCACATAAACGAGTGCGTGGGACCTCGTGGCTTAGCCTCAAGGAGTGTTCTGAGTGTCACTCTGAGGCAAGGATTTTCCTCCCCATCACTGTCATGGGCAGCAGCAACCACCACAGGGTAAATCGTGGATTTAGGCAAGAAGGTATCTAAATGCTCAGCGTAAGTTTGGTCGTTTCATAATTTCTTTGAACAGCCTCCATTTGGGCATTCTGTTATCCATTATTTCCAGATGTCCCTTGTTTTTATTTTACTTTTCTATTTCACACACTATGTTTTGCTATTTTTAATCTTTTTCTTATGTCTATGTTTGTGTATCCTAGAAAAGGTCTCAGAAATATGATCATTCTTTAATTTTTCTAAGTATCTTTTTTGTTGTTGTCATAGCGGACTGTGACTTCTGGACATTATGTAGGAATGTTACTTTAATTTCAGGCTTCTGAAACAAATATCTCAACTCTTTTAATACTACTTTCTTTTTTATCTCCATTTTACATATATTTCACTTTTGCTAAAAAATGTTGCTTTGATACGTGGTCTTCCTTTTTATTGTCTGTGCTACCAAGTACTTATTTTCACCTTGTAAATAAGAGAGAAATCTACAAAACTTTTACAATTATTTAAACCAATCCTAGTAGCTATTTTGAAAAATTCCACTAAGAACGGTTAAATTGCTGTTAAGCTAATATAGTTTTTTCTTGAATGGTCCAAATTTATAGTAATCAAAACGAATTTGTATTTTTAATTTGTATTATCTAATTATAATTTGCCTAGTATAAATTGGATAGTAATTGACTGTATTTGCAGTTTTTCTCCACTTTTTATATCCTCTCTGTTTTATAGTTAGACTGCCTGTAGTCCAAATTTTGTTGCTACTCGGCACCACTGAGTTCTTTGCATTCTTTCTTAGATTTATGCCTTGAATCAGAAAAGTTTTACTAAAAAAATATGTTTCTGCATATTGTTCCATAAAATTTCTTTGGATGTACTAACACGCTGAGCTCTTAAGGAGTTTAATGGTTATTTCACCTTGTTGACTTACTGTGATTTTTTGTTGTTGGAGCATTTCCATTCTTCCATCAGCTCACAAAAACCTTGAAGCATCTGTGCTTGGGAGAAGGTGGTCACGTGGAAATGAAAAGCACATTTAACTGCTTTGTTGCTGCATATTGTGTGACAAAAATCATAGGCCCTTGATGTTCCAGACAGCCAATGGTGGACAGTCAGCTTGGTTTCTAACAGTCTGTGTACCAGCTGATTACCTGAAATGTATTTCCCCATGGAAACAAGGTTAAGGAGGGGCACTTAGGTTTCTAGGTTAATAAATAAAACCTGTTTCACCCAGGAAACAACTAAAATTCTGTACATTGCAATGGTTAAGAGCAGACTATTGCTATTCTTAAGTAGCCAGAAAAGCAGTGCAATTGAATAAGGAAAAGGCTTTTTAAAAAAACATTTGTTGAACGCTGATTGTCAAGGAAAAACAATTTTAACTAGATGAAGGTGTAGAGAACTACTCATGATAATTCCAACAGTGGAAGGACAAATGGCATGTATTTCTTTATTATATGTTTCCCTTTATAATAAACAGCTGACATAGTTTCAAAATATTCTTCAATAAGCATTATTTTTTAAATTTATCCTTATTGATCTGAGCGAAGGGAGACATCAATTTGTTGTTCCACTTATTTATGCATTTATTGGTTGATTCTTGTGCCCTGACTGGGATCAAACCCACAATCTTGGAGTAGCAGGATAACGCCCTAACTAACCAATTGAGCTACCCGGCCAGAGACAATGAGCTTGCTTTTTAATTATTAGGTCAAAAATGCTGATAATTAAATAAGAAAGGTTTAAGAAGTGAAAAACATTATGGCGTTATTCTTGCCTGAGACAGTTGTATCACAGCCACTTTTGATTTAATGGAGCAGTCATGGCTTTAGTTTCCTTTGGTCCTTTCATTAGTGGAACAGAAGACTACTGATTGTCACCAGGTGACAGGTGCTGCTCTAGGCTCAGAGAATACAGCAGCAAACACGGGAGAAAAAGGTCTGGTTGGCTTATAGAGAGAATGAAGAACCTCTGTGGGAGGGGTTTTCTATGGAAATGGGGTAGGGAAGAAAAAGGTGAAGGAGGAATAGAATGACTGAGAATGAGTAAATCACCTGGGAATAGAAGAGGACAAAGGGGAGAAGGTAACCCCAGAATGTTGGACTCAGGGGAGAGTAGGGAGGAGAGAACTTGGGTAAAACAGTGATGTGCTTAAGCCAAGGGTTGAACAACTTGTGTGACCTAGGGGGAGAAGAGTGAGAAGGGGCAGGGAGCCAATTTCAGCATAAGTAAGGGGCGGGGGGGGGGGCGTTTTGCAGAATAGTCTTCTTTAGAAACTATAGGAAGTGAAGCAAGGGGAAAGAATGGGCAGGCTGATTTGGCAGAGATTTTGCTCATAAATTCCATCATTTCAAAGAGTAAATCATAAGGAATAATGTGAGAAATGTCCAGAAGTTTCAATTTAGATCTATTTTTTTTCACAGTAAAATGCTATTTTATATTTGTGATAATGTGATAATGTGTGATTACAAATTGTCAAATATATTTGGAGGGACAGAGTTGGAGAGAGCTAGTTAAGTAACGGGGACCCAGGAACAGTAAATAAAAAAGAAGTGGCTCTCCATGCAGGGTGGGTGGAACCAGCTTACAAACTGACCACTTGATCACCCCACTTGCAGCTTCCTATGATTGCATTGATTTTTATTGATATATATTCATGTTCACTTTCTGGAGTTCCTGACATTTAAAAAAATATTAAAGTAATTCAGATTCACCCCATTCCTACACTGGTGGAAAGATGGCCCCACCACATGTAGTTCCCTCATGTGGTTAAGAGCATAGGCTCTGGGGTCAGAACATCTGGATTTGCATCCTGACTCAAAGGACAGTCATTTCTGTGTTGTGTGGTTTTGTGCAAGTTACTTAATTTCTCTGGGCCTCAATTCTTCATGTGTAAAATGGCTTAATAATAGCACCTAGATCATTGGGTTACTCTGGAAATTGAATGGGTAATGTATATGAAGCTCTTAGAAAAATGTCTGGCCTCAAGTAGTGTTAGTTTTAAGAAGCAAAATAAAACTTCTAAAAATTCCCACACCAATTACTTACATTAACAAAAGCAAGAGCGAAAGTTGCTGCATGCATATTAATCTGCATTCAGAAACTTTCTAGTAAGTGCTTTCAATCAAAATGATTAGAAGCTGGCTCCGCAACCGGGGCTCAGGCCAACCCCAGCACCAACTGTCAGAGGAGCTCACGTCTGTCACACCTGGTTCACTTCAGGCCCTTGACTGGCACACAGGTGTTGACTGTACTGTGCTATAGCAATATCAGGAATACAAACATAAGTGCTCTTGGCCTTCCTACTCAAAGATGGTGAAGATTTTTATCTGTGTGTTGACGTAGCTGAATTTCTTTTAAGTAGGTCCACAGAGGAAAAAAAACCCACTCAGAACTTTCTCTTTCTTTGGATGCCTTCCTTCTTGCACAGTTTATGTGGAACAAAAAACTGTCTCTCCAGCCAGATATGGCCCCACACAAGCCAGTGATGTAACTGAGTTCATTCTTGGGGAATTTCCTACCTGGGCTTCAACCCCAATCGGAGCCCTGTTGCCAAACATGCCCTGTAACCACCCTCATCCTCAGCTTTGTCTTAAGGAAAATCTCTATTTGAACTTATGTAAACAGGTAAATGTTAGAGGCCAAATATACAGCTCCCTACCTCTGACAAGCGTGCCTGTCCCTTGCTCTTCTCCTATGAAAGGCCTCCCTTGCTTTCTCTCTGTCTGTATAGCTAAAATATGCCACCAATTCCAAAGGGATTTGGAGGATCACCAATAATGAAGTGGACACCAAATGAAATCTTTCTCATCATAGTTGGAGTGCCCGTTTCTGAGCAGGCTTTGTGTTCACCAAGGCCACTGGCACCAAAAAGCAATTACAGAAGTTCTGCGATTGGATGCTTGCCCACTCCCCTAAACAGAGTCATTTTTCCATTTTAAAAAATCACAAACACTTTTTGAACCCTCGTGCACTGTTGTGGGGAATGCAGATTGGTGCAGCCACTATGGAAAAGAGAATGGAGCAGCCTCAAAAAAATGGAACTCCCTTACGACCCAGTGATTCCACTTCTGGGTATTTATCCAAAAACAAACAAACAAACAAAAAAACACCAACCCCCCCCCCCAAAAAAAAAAACACAACAAAAACCCAAAACACTAATTCAAAAGAATATATGCACCCCTATGTTCATTGCAGCATTATTTACAATAGTCAAAATCTGAAAGCAATCCAAGTGCTCATCAATAGATGAGTGGATAAAAAAGTTGTTGTACATTACTTGGCTGTAAAAAAAAAAAATGAAATCTTACCGTTTGTGAAGGCATGGATGGACCCTAGGAGATATTATGCTCAGTGAAATAAGTCAGAGAAAAACAAATACCCTATGATTTCATTTATATGTGGAATCTACAGAACAATATAAACCAACAAACGAAATTAAAACAGACACATAGATGCAGAGACTGGACTGACGATTGCCAGAAGGGAGGGGGTCAGGAGACTGGGTGAAAAAGCTGAAGGGATTAAGAAGTACAAACTGGTAGTTACTGAATAGTTACAGGGATGTAATGTACAGCATAGGGAATATAGTCAATAATATTGTAATAATTATGTATGGTGCCAGGTGGGTACTGGAAATATCAGATGGGAACACTTTATAAAGTATATGATTGTCTAATCACTATGCTGTACCCCTGAAACTAATACAAAAATAATAGTGAATGTAAATTGTAATTGAAAATATATAAATTAAAACTAAAAAAGAAAGCCCTTTATTATTAATCAGTTATTACTAGTTAGAAGAGGATTACTAGTGATTTTTGTTCTGCTCATTATATTTGTGGTACTATATTTGTTTGCTTTTGTAGTGAATATGTATTTTTTTGGTGGTTTTTAAAAATTGTGGTAAAGTATACTCAACATCTACTCTTCTAATTAGAAAAATAAGTTGTTTCCATTGTAGAATAATTGAAACCTGTATCAATAAAAGAATATTTGCTGTGATTTGCATTAAGACAAGTTCAAGAGAGGCATAATGGAGTAAACCTATA